GACGAGGTCCGTCGCAGGAACTCGCCTCCTACCGCCTCTGACCTTATCACTGTGTCCAAAGATGAGATTACATCTACCATCAAAGGACTTAAGCCCAAAAAAGCACCGGGTGCGGATGGTATCTCCAACCAAGCCCTCAAACACTTCCCGGAGCAGGTAATCGCCTTACTGGCCATTATCTTTAACGCCTGCTTCGAATTCAGTTACTTTCCCACCTCTTGGAAAGAGGCAACTGTCATTGGCATTCCCAAGCCAGGCAAACCTCACCACCTCCCCTCCAATCACCGTCCCATCAGCCTCCTCAAGGCCATGGGCAAACTTTTCGAACGAGTTATTCTCGTGCGCTTGAGGCGCCATTTGTTTCCCACAGACGGCGACCCTCTTGTCATCCCACAACAATTCGGGTTTCGAACCAAACACTCATGCCCCCAGCAAGTTCACCGCATAGTGGAATACATCCTCAGCGGTTTTTATCCTCGCCGTCAAAAAACCATCGCGGTCTTCTTTGACATTGCCAAGGCATTCGACAGAGTCTGGCACGAGGGCCTTATCTACAAACTGTACGACTTAGGCCTCCCGGACCGTCTCGTTCGCCTTGTAGCCTCCTATCGTACCTTTCGCTTTAGACACGAAGGCACGCTATCCTCTACTCGTCAAATAAAAGCCGGTGTCCCTCAAGGCTCTGTGCTTGCTCCCCTCCTATATATACTATTCACCAACGACATCCCTATCCCGTCGAATGGTGTTAAACTAGCCCTCTTTGCAGATGACACAGCCCTTTACTCTAAAAGCAACTCACTATCACAGATTCGGAACAAGATCCAAAAGTCAGTAAGCAACTTAGGAGCTTGGTTCCAAAAATAGCGTATCGACGTAAACCCGGAGAAAAGCTCCGCCGTTTGCTTCGAATATAAACGACGTCGTCTCACCACCACTCCTCCAATCAGGATGTTAGGAACCCCTGTCCCATGGCAATCTAAAGCCAAATACTTAGGCGTCACCCTTAATGCAAGGCTCACCTTCGAGCCCCATATCAAGAAGGTTACTCGCACCGCACGGATTTACAAGGGTAGGCTCAACAGCATGTTGGGCAGACAAAGTAAAATGTCCCTCCGCAACAAGCGAACCCTATATAAGGTCTGCATACGACCTGTCATGACCTACGCGGCCCCCATTTTCGCACATGCTAAGCCCAAAGCTATAAATGAACTTCAAATAGTTCAAAATCTATTCTGTCGTAGGGCCACTAACTCGCCCTATTATGTCCGTAATGCCGACCTACATCGAGACTTAGAGCTCCCAACAATCCAGCAGTTCCTTAAAACACTCTCTGAGAGATTTTTCAAAGCCTCAGAGTCTCACCCAAATCATCTCATTCGTGAGACAGCTGCCTATGCAGCCCCTATCCACACTCGCTATAGTGTGCGTAGACCGAGAAACTCTCTCTCGGACCCCCCCCCCCCCCCCAACAAGCTTTCGGCTGACCTGAACTGCCTCCTGGCGGCTCGGGCCGAGCCTACATAACACATCCCTTAATCTGCCTTAGTTAGGCACTCTTCTAAGCGGCTTTTCGCCGCTTGCGCCCTCCTTTCTGCCAAGGAGGGTCGCGTTCGTATACTCTTAGAGATCTCTAGTCAGATCGTTAAGCCAGTTCCTAAAAGGTTGGGTTTAGTGGGTAAAAGTCACCACATAACCACGCAGCCGGCTGCGTGGTATGCTATGAGCATTCCCAACCTCCCTCCTCCGATTTCCGGAGGGTTGCCCATATTTGCTTCGGGCGCAAAAAAAAAATACTACTATTTATTCTGTGAGGTTAACTATATCCTCTTATTAAATACTTATCTTTGCAGTAATAATACTTAGAACACATATTTTTTTTAAATAAAATAATTTTGACAGACGAGCTCACACTATTTAATGGTGAGTGAATACTGTGGCCCATATACACTCACAACCCAACTCGATTAAGAATGTGGAGATGCGTTGCCACCCCTGATGACTAAGAATGCCTCGTTTCTAGTAAAAAGGATAACCGGTTCACCACATTCACCATACGAAATACAACAGCATTAAACTGCTATTTTAAGCTGGTATTCTTTAAGAGTACTTCCCTGGTTGAGCCGACCCATTCGTGATATAACTATAATATAGCTGCAGCATGGCACTAACACGTGCATATCTTTGTTGGTTTATTCTAGGAAAAAGTAAAGTTCGGTGTATTGGTGCTTGTCGTCATGTGTCATTATCTAGTCCTGTACTTTAAACTTAATACATTATATAGTCGTGTAACTTCCAAACGACTTAACCGACTGAGGTCATATTCACATAATATATTTGTTTTGTCGAAACGATAGTTCACAGCTATGTTAGGATAGATAGTTGCGCTGTAGTCAGGTTATAAATAAGAGCCGTGGCAGCTCAGATGGTTAGCGCTGCACAGTACGCGAGCAACCCGGTTTCGATCCCCGATTTTTAGAGTTCCGTAGCCAAATGGCAAAAAACGGAACCCTTATGGATTCGTCATGTCTGTCTGTCTGTCTGTCTGTCCGTATGTTACAGCCACTTTTTTCCGAAACTATTAGAAGTATGCTGTTGACACTTGGTAAGTAGACGTATTCTGCGAATCGCATTAAGATTTTCACACAAAAATAGAAAAAACAATCTATTTTGGGGGTTCCCATACTTAGAGCTGAAACTTAAACATTTTTTATCACACCCATACGTGTAGGGTAACTATGGATAGGTCTTCAAAACTGATATTGAGGTTTCTAATATTATTTTTTTCTAAACTGAATAATTTGCTCGAGAGACACTTCCAAAGTGGTAAAATGTGCCTCCCCCCGTAACTTCTAAAATAAGAGAATGATGAAACTAAATAAAATATATGATGTACATTACCATGTGGACTTCCGCCGAAAATTGGTTTGAACGAGATCTAGTAAGTAGTTTTTTTTAATACGTCATAAATCGTGAATCGCAATTTACCTTTCATTCAGTCAACTCAAATATAAGAATAAATAAAAAAATAATTTCATAAACATAAACCTTATGCATAAACCGTAAACCATTTTTTTTTCTAATAATAAATCTGTAAAAGGTGCCTAAGTAAATTCAAAACTCAAATGTACCAGCTAAATGAATTTATAAATTTTAATTTGGAATTTGTAACCAAAGAGGAGATATTTCAGATCAAAGTGGTCAGTAAGACGAAACGCTAATTTTACATGTAAGGACTCAATATTTTTGGAAACATTTCTTGTCAAACTGGAATATATACTCGTATAAGCTTGTTTAGCTATCACAAGCCTATATCGGCTCGCATATAGCTAGATCTAAATCCCATCATTTTGGTACCTAATTATAATGTATACTTATCAATAACTTAATTAAAAATACACTATTATTAAAACATCGATCAAAGTTACAACGAACTACAAGAATATTATGTTACTTTGCTGCTACGGAATCCTTCATGGGCGAGTTGAATTCGCACTTGGCCGCTTTTTCCATCGATTTACCACGTACTAGGCGGTGAAGGAAAACTTCGTGAGGAAACCTGCATGTCTGAGAAATAAGAAAAAAAATTTCAAAGACATGTGAAGTTCGACACCACGCACTGGGGCTTGCTGTAAAACCCTTACAAAAATGAGAGGGATCTCTGCCCAGCAGTGGGACGTATCTAGGCTGTAACTTCAACAGATTATAATAAGCATGTATTGTACCTTAATAGACCTTAATAAAAAATTGTGTATGTAAGTTAACATACACAATTTTTTTTTGATGTTTGTTTTGTAGCACAAATGAATATCACAAAAATAGGACACGATAAGTGGCAATGTGGTCAAGCAATTAATAATTTTATGTTGACACTGTAAAAAGTTCTGAGTAAATTCTAAGCGAGTCATCGCTCCACCTAGTCCGCACTGCTGTTTTCCGAACTCAAGGGTGTAGAGGGCCAGTGTAATTACAGTCTGCGAGGCATTCCAGCTTAGCCTCAGGGGTGACAATGCATCTGTAGTCTTCTTCGATTGAAGTTGGCTGCAGATGTTGATGGGCTGTAGTAGCCACTTACCTTCAGGTGGACTATAAGTTCATTCCTCACTTCAATTTTGTAAGAAATTGTATAACTTTAATTAAAATTGTATAACTTTAATAAAATTGTATAACTTTAATTAAATTGATAACTTTAATTAAAATTGTATAACTTTAATTAAAATTGTATAACTTTAATTAAAATTGTATAACTTTAATTAAAATTGTATAACTTTAATTAAAATTGTATAACTTTAATTAAATTGTATAACTTTAATTAAAATTGTATAACTTTAAGTCACGGGTCACTCAAAGGATACTAGCAGGACAGGATTATAGGGCCCTAGTGTATGAGCAAACACAGGTGCACTCTCATAGTCTGATGGAACGATCCGACACGACCAGAGAGAGATCAGGCGCCAACGGCTTTACGTGCTTCCGAGACACGGGCTTGAGACACCGCCAACTTCCTGTCTCCGGGCAGCTACTGAGAATTTCTTGACAGAAAAACTCAATAATTGATTTTTGGTCCGACTCGGGATTCGTACCCGGGACTTCGACACTTCGACTTTGACACTTCATGATCAGCAGTACGCACTATTACAACCACTAGACCAACGAGGCAGTCAGTTATAAAATGTGTATTAACTAATTTTAAAAATAGTACCTATAATTATGTATAACTTAGTGCCCCGATGGTGGGGTAAGAGAATTCATCACCACTCATGTGTGTATCGTAAAGAGGCAATTACAGGAAAAGCCAATAAAATCTTATGGCTTCCGATATATGACGGTAGGATCATCGCTTCCCACCACACGTAAAATAAACAAACTCGCGCACCAGACGTCAGGAACTGCAATACAGAATCCGCCTGCCAAACGAGACGAGTTTAAAGTGAATCCTCTTCACAGCGGTGATGAAGAAGTATTAAAGTTTACGAAGATTACGTTAAAAGTTTAGTTTATACCTGTGGCTATTGAAGTTTTTATCCGGCGGCGAATAGTCTCCTCCTCAAACGAGTAGACGTAGTACTCTTCGTTCAGGTCTCGAAGAAATTGTGGTTTCACCAGCACACCGCCGACGACACCAAAGAGACGCACAAAGCCCAATGGAGTGAATACTGGAGAAAGGTTTTGTTATTAGGTTTCAGTAGGTATTAGTCTGATTTTACAATTTTAATAACTATCTAAAAAATTTTTAATTAAATCGACTTTTCACGTGACCAACAGTTATGTATGACTATTATAACTTATAATCGATGGTGAAGTTAGTATGTAGCGCAGAAAACATCTATTTTATGTTTCGCGTTTTCTTAATATAGACTCCCTTAAAGATTAACCTATCTTTTGTTACGAGCTGTTCATTGCTCTCGAAATTGTGTTGGATACTTAATATTTCGAGAACTTAATTTTATTGCTAAAAATAGTTTAGGGACATGTGCATGGGACCACGGCGTAGTATAATCTTTTGAAGTAGTGGAAAAATTGGTTCACCATGACCACGAACCTAACCACTAACTTTTTTGCATTCCTTGTTTACATACAGGGCAATAAGGTACAAAAAAATATAATAATAAATTTTATCTTGAGACCTTTATAAAATAGTATGATTGATTTTTTTTATTAATTTCGTCAAGAACTATAAGGATTCTTCGAAACATTAAATTCTTAAAAAAACTTCGTTTTCTGCTGAAGAATTGAAATAATGATCATTGACTTTTTTATGTACTTTTAATAGCAATGGCTATTGCGATTTTCTTTGAAGAGGCACACTCCTTCCCAAAAAGCACAGACCATCCAAAGAATGCGCCAGCTGGCATGCATTTTTTTATAGAATAAGGGTGGCAAACGAGCACACAGTCCACCTGATGTTAAGTAGATGCTGTGGCCCATAGACATCTTACATTTATCATCGATTAGGAATCAAAATGTAGATGCGTTGCCACCCCTGAGGACTAAGATGGAATGCCTCGTTTCCTGTAAAACGGGTCTCCGGTTCTCTACACTCACCATACGAAACACAGCAGCATAATTGGTATTCCGTGAGGGCGTGGTCCTTCCCCGGTCGAGCCGACCCATTCGTGCTACAACCATAATATAGCTGCAGCATGGCTCTACCACGTATATAATGCATTACTAGATGTGCCCTTATTCACCGTCTCATCACGCTGGACAGGCAGCTTAGTGAGCGTTTAAATAATACCCTCGTACGTAACTTATGTTCAGCCATTGCGTGGATTTTCCGCCGTTCAAGTGTGGTTAATATTTACACTAAAATGTGGCATTTTCCTTTTTAAAGGATGATCCAAGGATGCAGGAGCTTTGTATACCACAAATCCTATATGGGGCCGTCCCAATGAAAAAGAACAACAAGTAAACAATTACCACTTGTGATGGACTGTAATGATGATGATGATGATTTTTCTTTAAAGCTATAACTTATATTAAGTTAAATTCCTATATAAAAAAACATCGATTATCTGTTCACGAGAAAAATGCTTATACATGTAATTTAAATCTTATTGACGTTGTGGAAACAATCAATTTTACATTAATACCAAACAAATTAGGTTCAAGGAAAAACTATTTATAAAAATGTAGTAACACAACTTTATTATTTCATCATTTTCTATTTTATATTCATTTGTTCATAATTTTTGAATTGAATACTAACTGAATTTTTACTCTTCTTCAACCGGTCTTGTGGATAAATGCATAAATAATATATTTTTTAAATCTAACCGAGGCGCCAGATTAAGTGACGACCGTAAGGCGCCTTGAAACAGATATTAGTGCGACCATGACTGTGACTTAAGCTAATGAAGATGATTAAAACGACTAAACGAAGTAATTTGTCTAGTACATTTATTGCCGAATTTTAAATAGAATATGGGTGACAAACGATCACACAGTTCACTTGATGGTTTGGTAAGTGGATGTTGTGGTCCATAGACATCTACATTATCCTCGATTAAGAATCAAAATGCAGATGCGTGGTCACCCTGAGGACTTAGACGGAATGCTTCGATTCCAGTAAAACGGTCCCCGATTCTCTACACTCACGATACGATACACAGCAGCATTAAGCTGCTATTTTACGCTGGTATTCTGTGAAAGCGTGGTCCTTCCCTGGTCGAGCCTTCCCAATCTTGCTACATGCTACAATCATAATATACTCGTAGCTGCAGCGTGGCTTTACCACGTAGATTATTATCTAGGTTTACTATGTATTTATCTTCCGCTTATTATGTACCTACTTAGTATTATTGAGTTGCGTTAGTAGTTGTATAATCTTTCCATCTGCTTTAATCTATAGAAACATCTTCAAAAACAAAATCAATATTTCGACATCAAGTGATGTACATTATACAAATTACTTTATTGCAGTTGGGGTGAAGACTGAATAAAATGCATAGGTATATTCCTTTCTTTGTCTCACACAAATTTAACTACCGTAACAACGTCAAAAGGCAGATGAGTAAGCACGAAAGGTTGATTGATTCAATATTCCACAATATCTTTAAAAAAAACTTATTTATACCCAAAATAAAATCCATTAGATCCGTTAAATTTTGGTCTAAAATTATTTCAACTACATGATATTTCCCGAAACTTGTTTTATCGCAATTTTTTTTTAATTTCACAATTAAGCTAAACAAAAGGGATAACTTACTGTAAGTATTATGAATGTTAATAATATGGGTACTAAAGGCCCATACAAATCTTACGCCTAAATGTCATATGAGACGGATGAATAAAAAAAATATAAAATCGTAAAACAACTACCTTAGACCATATTCAATTTAACAGTAATAAAACGTCATTTGTAAACATAAGGCGTTACGTTATGCATTTTTTATGACTGAAAAGTAAAAAGTAATAAAATGTTTACGACAGAAATTCATCAAAAGGATAAAGACCATACTTTATATACTTACTTTTTAAGTTGACATAAATGGTACTGATGTTTCTGTATTAACATATCATTTTGTTATCTTAGCATCAACTATCAATCTTCAGCATAAACTTCAAAAATACTATTACATGCTGGTAGATTAATCACGTGCTTAATCTACCAGCAATTGAGAAGTCCCGTATCATCAATAAATAACGTGACTTTGTTACGTTTAACATCATTTTCCAGGTGTAATAATAGAAATTTTAACATATTTGCCTGTTTTAATTTAATATATATAAATAAATAAATAAAACTGAAAGTGTCTGCCTGAAAAGGCATTAATAATTATTTTTAACCATTTCAATGACTGTCCCATGGGTCATATATAAACATGTTTCTTTAACTATCCTGACTTTTTGTCTTAATTTTCTCTGTCCGTCTGTATGTCCGGATAATATTTGGAATGGCTGAACCGATTGTGATGAAATCAATGCCAAGAGGAATCTAGGCTATATATTAACTGAAAATCATGAAGTTTTTCTGAAAAAACGGAAAAATTAAAAAAAGATGGTCTGTGATAATCAAAAATGGAGGACGCTTAGGATATACAGGGTGTTAGTGTAAACACCGTTATCCTTGAAACCAGTGGTTTGGTTTCACTTATATAACGTAAATTCAATAAATTAAAAAAACGCTATTTTCTTTCATAAAATTTAAAAAGTTTCTGTCTGAAACCGTCCGTAAATTCATGGATACCCTATGCGCCTGAGTGACGTAATCACTGTAAAGATCACCGCCCGCGCTAGATACCTACACTACATTCCAATAAAAACACAATAGGTACACATAACCTGTGATGTAACTTTTCCTTCATACTTTCATTCTGGCTTAGGACAGGCAAAAATTGAGGAATTAAGGAAAAATAGAGATTTTACTAAAAAAATGTTGTTATTTTTCATTGAATTTACGTTCTATAAGTGAAACCAAACCACTGGTTTCAAGGACAACGGTGTTTACACTAACATACACACCACATTAATAGATCCTAGGCGTCCTCCATGCGAAGCCGCGGCGGGTCGCAAGTCCTAAATAATAAAACAACTTACAAATTATGCAACAATATAACAATCTACATAAATCAATAGACATCTTCATTGAAATTTAGTTATTTTGGAAAACAAATTATATATATTTAATCTAAATAATCGGTTAAAGTTAAAAAAGTTAAAGTTACTCTGGGACCTATATAGGCTACATACGTGAGTGTTTTAGGTATAGAGTGTAGAGGCAAGAAGTACAGACTCTGTATAAAAAAGTGTCCGTAGGAAAGCGCGAAATAAGGGTGGCGCCTCTGTAGCTACAGTCTAAATTTTAAAGAACTCTATAATTTTTTATTGCACTTTTTTCTTTTCTGATTTTCACCATAATTCTTTTTACAATAATTATTTAATTGTTTTCAAAATTTTTATTTTCAAAATCACTCTCAACGTATTTTACGGCGATTTATCCATAGCCTGTAGCTACTCGAGCGCTGTTGTGGAGAGTTTTTGAACTGTTATTTACTGCTTACGGATGGACACATTATCAACTATTCTCCTATCGGAGATTGTACTCCTTACCTCCATACTCCATGGTTTTAGGGCAAGGAAGTGTCCGTCACGCTGCCCCCATGCGTGTTGGCGAATTTCACGTCTTCGAAATAATTTTTTTTCTTATTCCTTCGACGTGCAAGTTTACACACGATGTTTCCTTCACCGCTGACGTGGCAAATCAGCAATTAACAATTTCATTGGTGCTGGCGGGGATCGAACCCGGGTTGCTCGCGTACTGTGAAGTTTACAGCGAGCGCTAACCATCTACACTGTCGCAACTTGATTTTGTTAAATCATTAAGACTATGAAATTATAATCAATAATCTAAATACGCGACAAATAGATAACAATAATACGCGTCTGGTGATAAAATAAACCCGTACTTGATTTTGTGGTATTAATGCAACAATAAGTAAAATATGCAGAAGAGGTAATCATCAACTTACGTTATAATAAAATATCATCCTGATAGAGTTAAAGAAGCATTAATATGACAATATGTAAACAATTGGAAAACTGCATTTCTTGCCATTAACAAGTCAGCAAGAGCAATGTTGTCATAGTAACCCACCATTGTTAATATAACAATAGAATTTATGACAACAACAAATGAATAGTACAAAAACAACAGACGGTGCCATACTTCTTAATTTATCACATATTTGTGCGTTATGCGAAATGCTCAATATATTGAGGGATCAAGAGGGACATTTTATTTTTGTAAATTACATCGGCTACAACGTGCAACTATAACCTTAGGAACATGTATATATATATATATATATATATATATATTAATAAACACTCACACCCGTCACTACGCAGAGACCACCATTTGGCTCAATCCTGAAACACCATCCTTTACATCCATATGCCTACTAGGCTGCACCAAAAGTATCGGGAATGGAATATTTCCACTGTTCCTGTCATATTAAAATCTTTTTAATTGAAAACTCCTTGGTTTTAAAAATCGAATACCATTTATTTATTTTAAAAAAGATTCTCGGTCTTGTCACAAGGTTTTGTCAAACTTGTTTAGTCGTTGAGAAAATGGAATTGACTCAAGAAAATTCAAGAGCGATGATTTATTATGACTTTCGAAGTGGTTTAACACAAAAACAGTGTGCTGACCGGATGATTTCTGCATTTGGTGATGAAGCCCCATCCAAAACCACAATTTATCGCTGGTTTGCTGAATTTCAACGTGGACGTGTCAAGCTCAGTGATGATCCCCGTCAAGGTCGTCCAAAAACTGCAGTCACCCAAGAAAACATTGATGCTGTGCGTAAGCTGATTGAGGAAGATCGACATGTGACATACCGCGAAATTCAGGCAACTTTAGACATTGGCATGAGTCAAATACAAATAATCTTGCATGAACAATTAGGTGTAAAAAAGTTGTTTTCCCGATGGATACCGCATTCGCTCTGTGAAGAGCAAAAAGCGGCTCGCGTTACTTGGTGCGTCAGAACTCTCGAAAGATTCAACGCAGGATTCTTAAATGTTGTATACAACATCGTATCAGGTGACGAATCCTGGATTTACGCGTACGAACCCGATATAAAAAACCAGTCACGCGTTTGGGTGTTCGAAAATGAGTTAAAGCCAACAAAAATTGTTCGTTCACGGAGTGTTGCAAAAAAAAATGGTGGCCACGTTTGTCTCCAAAACCGGCCATGTTACGACTATTCCTCTTGAGGGACAAAGAACGGTTAATGCAGAATGGTATGCTAGCATTTGTTTGCCACAGGTCGTTTCTGAACTCCGTAAAGAGAACTGCAACCGCCGCATCATCCTCCATCACGACAATGCGAGTTCTCACACCGCACACAGGACAAAAGAGTTTTTAGAGCAAGAAAACATAGAATTATTAGACCATCCGCCGTACAGCCCCGACCTAAGCCCTAATGATTTCTATACTTTCCCTAAAATAAAGAATAAATTGCGTGGACAGAGATTTTCATCACCTGAAGAAGCTGTGAACGCTTACAAAACGGCCATTTTGGAGACCCCAACTTCCGAATGGAATGGTTGCTTCAATGATTGGTTCCGTCGTATGGAAAAATGTGTCAAATTTCGCGGAGAATACTTCGAAAAGCAATAAATACATTTTTAAATAGTAATGTTGTGTCACTTCCTTGATTTCCGAAATTTTCAGTGCCGCCCTCGTACGCATACGGGTACAACGTGTACCCCTTATGCACCTTAGGAACATGTACATACATATATAAACACACACACCTGTCACTCAGAGGAGTACGCAGAGGCCACCATTTGGCACGATCCTGAAACACCGTCCTTTATATCCATATAATATATATATATATATATATATATATATATATATATATATATATATATATATATATATATATATATATATATATAACGATATACCTACGCATTCATGCGAGCTTAGAATGACTACAAAACTTAGAAAATGTGCCCATAAATAGATTCCACTAACAATTTGTTGATATTTTAAAGTATTTTATATGTGTACAAAAAATGAAAATGTTTGACGTTTGTCAAGTATTATGACAGGTTGATTCATGGTGTAACATAACCTTAATTGTATCTTTTTTAGTTTTTAGTCTCTCGAGGTGGATTTAAGCGCATACCAACCATTGTGATCCAAGAAAACAAACTTAAAGAAAAACAGCTTCCACGACAACTAACATGCATCTTCATTATCATTATCATCATCATTGCACACTTTTACAGCCTACGCACACACAGATTACAGCCCTTCACAAGTCCACTGCTGAACATAGGCCTTACCTCAAGGAATGTCACAAAACACGGTCTTGCGCCACCTGCACCCATCAACTTTCTGCATGTCTTACCAGGTCGTCACTCCATCTAATGGTCAATGCATGTCAATAATGCCAATCAAATACATCTACGACACATGTTCTCGTCAGGTATACTTCAAAACATGAAAACAAGATTGTACAACCAGTGCGTGTTGCCAGTGATGACTTGTGGATCTGAGACGTGGTCCTTCACTGTTGGCCGTACGAGAAAGCTCAAGGTCGCTTTACGAGTTACGAAGAGGACTATGCTCGGATTTTCTATGCATCATAAACTTAGAGAGATAGCTCAACGGATTAGTAAGCTGAAGCTTCGAAAAATCGACCACTGATGGAGAAGAAAGCTTCATGAGTGGCAGCCTCGTATCGGTAAGCAACGTGTGGGGCGGCCCCCCACTAGATGGAGTAACGACCTGGTAACATACATCGTAAATGCTTAAAGTTGCAGTTATTGTAAGCTGTTTAACTCTTTTAACTCGTTTTCTCATTTTTTCTTCGCCTTTGTTTTATTACACTTATCTACAACAATATTTAATATCTGTTCTATAAGTGTTCGGACCACTATTAATGTTGCAGCACCTTTATTCAAGTTACCTTGACAACCGTTACTGTGTTTCTCTATTAGATCAATTGACAAAAGAATTTAAAACGTTATAGACTTTATTGTTAATAAATTAGTGAAAATGAGTGAAAATAAAATATTACGGAATCCTGTATTGAAAGAAGCAAATGAAATAGAACTTAACGAAGAATGGAGTAACTTTATGAAAAGAATTGGTGAAGTTTCTAACATAATAAAAGATCTTGCGAGTGGTGACAAGGAAAGAGCTGATGCGGCCACAGTGTTAGCGGATCAGTATTTGGAAGGAAAAGTTATAACGGATGATAAGATAGTAATGAAACTCAAAGACGATAGAACTATTATAAATAAAAACGCGTTTGAAAGCCTTCAAAAAAACGATACTGTGAGAATGAGTGTTTTTTAAATAATTAATGTTTTTAATTTACCCAATCTTTTATGTTATATCACGGAGCTAAATCAACAAGACAAGGATATAACTATTATTCCTCTTCCCTTCCTCATAATACATCATTCCTTCATCACTGTTCTGTCTCCTCATCATACTGTTAATACAGTGAACAATCATATTCGGTGCTGACTATAGAACAGATGAAATTAATTCAATTTGTTAAGATGCCAATTTTAATAAGGTCTTGAGTACCTATACTCGCTACAAAATATTTAGGACACGATTGCATTCTTTAATTGTTGGACGTATATATTCTATAATACGTGTTTTAGATCTTGTTATAAATTAATTTGGCTTTCGGTTCGATATAAATATGCCGCGTAAAATGTATGACTACCGTTCACGATTATAGGCGTCGCGTCGCGTCGGTGTAAAAATGTTATTTGTATATTAGTACCAGAAAATATTAATTTGTAGGCATGAGTGGTTTATTTTCGGCTAATGAAATACCAAATAATATAATTATTTTAACTTGAATACTGACACAAATACCGAAGCATGTATAACACTATTAAATATTTGTAATTGCAATATGAATAGAAAGTATTCTGGAAAAGCAGAGTTAGTTTGCTCGTAAAAAGGAACGCTTGTCGAAATATCAATGAAATTAAAGATAGTTATTTGAGTGTTCCTTCAAAAATGTCTATTTTAGCCTAGTATAACAATAGTTGTCCTTAGACTTATCTGGATAGTGAGGTAGCGAGTGAATGAGTAGATACCTTTATAATTATCTATCTTTCGAAACTGTATGTTTGTATACTTTTTGGCTCTAGCTACAAATACACAAGTTGATTAATGGTTTATGCACACTTAATGCTTTAAAGACATTCTCTACCAGTCAACCCAAGAAAATTTCTATAATTATGCAGATAGAATCGTTTAAGGATAATTTTGTAAAAGTAGTTACATTGGATCCATCCATCCATAACGTCCCATGTATGTCGTTGTAACTAATATCCGGTTAGAAACACACTTTATTTACACCAACATAAGCATTTTCCCGTGGAACACAAAGCTAACAAATTGAACTGCAGCACAAATCGGACTTCCTACTAGAAAAATCCTAATCACAGGGTCTTTCGTAATGAGTGCTAATAATCTTCCGCTCGTCAGATGTCGCTAGTCGACACTGAGGTGAAGTTTTTAGTAACACAATGTTATTTAATTTAGAAGTTTACATAAAATAATGCCACAGTGGTTTGCTCTTTAATTTTTACATACAACAATTTTTTTTGTTTTTGTGAATATCTGTGATTTAGTTTATTTTTAATCTAATTAATACAAAATATAACTAATAGTAAAGTAAAAAAAAGTAAAGTTACAGTCTATATACGTCCCACTGCTGGGCCTCCTCTCATTTCTGAGAGGGTTTTAGAAGAAGACTCCCCATGCGTGTTGGCGAACTTCACATGTCTTCGAAATATTTTTTTTCTTATTCCTCGGACATTCAGGTTTCCTCACGATGTTTTCCTTCACCACCGAGCACGTGGTAAATCAGCACTTAAAATTGCAATTAACAATTTCATTGGTGCCAGCGGGAATCGAACCCGGGTTACTCGCGTTCTGTATATTTACAGCGAGCGTTAACCATATGAGCTACCACGGCTCGACTCGACAATTTTCGAACAAATTAACTTCCCCGATATGAAATCTGTAAAATATTACACTTCATTTTTAAGTAGTGCCGCCACGGTACCAGAAAAAGTCGTGCATGCCCTCATTGTTAGTTAAAACATTGACACACTTGACCTGCTTTACACATATTAAATGATTAAAAAGCAGTTACATGCACGTGCCACTGGCAAAACACAACATTAAGAGCGATGTCACATGGAGCAATGTAGGCCACATTATATACATACACATACAAGTAGTGGACCCTACATATTAAACTATAAAACCAATGGCAGACAAAACACCGTGGATCGCATCTTCGTATCGTACGCTAGAGCGAAAACTCCGCATCGGCCGTGTGACATACATTTTCTACAGGTATAGAATAAGGGTGTATAACGAGCACACAATCCACCTGTTGGTAAGTGACTGTTAGCCCATAGACATCTACATCTCTACTCAAATAAGAATCAAAATGCAGATGCGTTTTCAGCCGTGAGAACTAAGATGGTATGCCTCGTTTCCAGTAAAAGGATCGTTCTCTACACTTACCATACGAGACACAACAGCATCAAGCTAGTTTTCTATGAGAACGTGGTTTTTCCCCGATCAAGCAGACCTATTCGTATTACAACTACAGTAGACCTTCAATAATCCGGCCCCTGGCTAATCCGCACCCCCTTGTAATCCGACATGCCTTAAATGAATCCGTTATGTGGGGGGGGGGGGTGTTCTTCGCGAATACGTGGACAAACAGGTTGCATTTATTTCAGGCCATTGTCTTAGTTTAAATGTAACTATGGGGTTGCAGCCTAACGGACATCCATCATATACTTAATTTCACATGACTTTTTTTATTGTTTAATATTAGATATGTAATTTGTCGGATTACAAGGTACCCTTTTTAAAAATTTCCGGACTAGGGGGCTGTGGCCGTACTCTATATTCCGACAAATTTGATAATCCGACACCGCCTTGCAAAACGTTTGTCGGATTACCGCAGATCTACTATATAATATTTTAGCTGTTGCGTGACTCTACCTTGTGTACACGAAGCGGAATCAATGATGTGCGGATGGATTAGCACAGGCGTAATTATTCACTAGTAAGTATATGAAATTAAACAATAAAATCAATTCTAGGGTGAAATATGTAAAGATGCCTGGATGGCAGAAATGAGCAAAGACGCGGAAAAACGCGCCGAGGATCGAAAGATACGACGTGAAAAAGCGGACACTTTAAACACGCAGGCCATTAAGGCTTTCCGGCGAGGCGAGTACGATAAAGCATTGTCTTGTTACAATCGAGCTCTGGAACACGTCAAAGACAATCCTATGTTATACTGCGATCGTGCACTCACAAATATTAAGCTGGGAAACTATCAAAAGGTATTTTACTGTTGTATCACATAATCTCAATGCAGTTTACATTTATTTTTCTCAAAAACCGCAAGACTTTTCTAACAAAGCTTTATTATATTGTTACACAGTTGCAGAATATTATTATAAAAATATTCCACAACTGTGTAAACTTTGTTGCTGTTTTTGTTTAATACCAAACGTTTTCAAATACATGGGATACTTTCTGAGTTGTATGGTTGTACCCATAACAGACCGTCATTACGAGAACCGAAACCGTCTTTACTGCTGACGAGGAAATCTAGGTACATATCTCAGTTATCAAAGGTGACAACGCAATGCATCTGCAGTTTATATAGTTATATCTTCATCTATGATAGATGTACGTAGATTTACATGGGCCACGACATTATCATCAGAAACACTATATAGAATGACAAACGAGTCAGTTTCAAAATTGAAGTAAGAATCACATTATAATTTACTTCATTCTTATAAAAGTAAACTAGCTGTTTTCCGCGGCTTCGCTCGCGGGTAATTTAGGGTTTCAGTATTTTTGAGCGGAACCTTAGTTACCTGCGAGTGAAAGTTCCGTCTAAATTGATCCAGCCGTTTCGAAGATTAACCGGTACAAACAGACAGACAGACGGATAGACAGACACAGACAGATTTTTTTAAAACTGTGTTTTCGTTATAAAAACCGTATAATATTCCTTCATATGCATTTAGTAAAAAGCTGTAATTTTAATAAATTTTAAAATTACAGCTTTTTACTAAATGCCACACACACACACACAGATATATATATATATATATATATATATATATATATATAAAAAAAAATTTTCTTTTCTTATCAAATTGCATATAAACGCAAACTAAATTTAAACACGGTTGCCGTTCAAACAGCTTGTATTATATACTTCAATAACATAGGAACTATTCATAGAACTGATTTTAAAACTATCTGATTTTGTAAAGGAGAGCTACAAACAATGTCTGTTTTATAATGAATCTCATTACTAAATATTCTGCCACGGTTGTCATTAAAACAATAAAAATAACACAAATTAATTTACACTCCTATTAAAAATATTGCTGTAAAGGTACTATGTGGAAAAATGTATTGTAAATGAATAATATTGAAACTTTAGCTTAACTTATTATACGTTCTATAACGGGTACAACGATCGGTTACAAAAGACAATTTGCTAACAAGATAGTTTTGAGGTTGTGGTTGCTTCGAACAACTGTAGTAATCCGATAGAACACGATCATTGACCTTGACAATTCCTAATAGCTTTAAATAACCAGTTCCTGTGGAATGGAAAAAAAAGCGATGGAAAAAAAACTAAGCACAAAGAATACATTTATAAGTTATAACATTAAAACAAATAAGTTTCACAAAGCTTTGTGCTAGGTATGGGAGAAAATTCCATTCCATTCCGTTCTCAAAAGGCCACCGTTGAACATAGGCCTCCCCCATAGATTGCGTCATAGGGGGGATTTCGCCATAGTTGCCACGCATGCGAGGCGGGCTGGCAACCGCAGTTGAAGAGGAAGACGCTGGTGTCCTGTGTTGCCTCTTACGACACCCACTACATGGTAAGTCGATAGTTTTAAATAATATTATTTAAATTTGGGGTTTCATCTTTATTCCGTATATTTGCAAACTTTTTTGTTAAGAATATAAAATAATCATTACAATTCACCGATATATGGGAGCATGGTAGTGACCTACATATATGTGCTAAAACTGTTGTATACCACTGTGGTCTACAAAACAGTCGATTGTAATTGGATGCTGAGATTTCAAAATGGGGCTACCCTCCATGTCATGTACATTATAATTAATTCGCAAAACAACATATTTCAAATATTACGCATGAAAAAAAAACTTTCATAATTTTCTTATTTTGCTAATTAAAATTTCTGGTATTTTAGGTCTTCAAAGACTGCGATTGGGCACTGCGTATCAATGAGAAGAGCTTTAAAGCACGATTATATAAAGCCAAAGCTTACAAAGAACTAGAAGAGACTGATGAGTTTGAAAAATGTAAACGTGAAATAGAGGAAATGTTTCCACAACATCATGACCTTATTAAGTATTTTCTTGAAAAGGAGGAAAACATCGAAGGAGATAACCAATAACTTTATGTTTGTTTTGTAATTCGGCTTAGCTCGTTTTATCATATTTGCTATAGCTCTATACTAAATATCTACTTTACTAACAATAGAGTATAGTACTTATTAAACTATTTTCACAGAAACTCCAAAACTTATCGTGTGATATTTTTTTGTTATAAGAATGTTGAAAATTAAAAATAATACTTTTTAAAAAAGTTCACCTCAATAACTCTTAAAAGAATAAAATTATTTCCACTTAATAGCTTTTGAAGTTGGTGCTAAGACATAGTGCCTTTTGAAACAATTAAAGTTCAGACTTTAGAAATTATTATATGGAAGTAATTTTATTTTATTTAGTTTAGGGAATTTAATTTTATTTTGAGTTTAACTATTCACTATATTATTAAGGGACAGGACGATTCCTGTGGGTGCTGTAAGAGGCATCAAAGGTAAGCAAACCAGAAGATGGGCTGTAGCATCATCCTTATACAATCATCACAAGTTCTAGGATTTTTTATTTATTTATTTAATACCAATCTTGATAAGCTTTTTAATAAAAAAAGTATCATTAGAATCAGTTCAGATGTTAAAAACACCTACACGTCGACATACGGTCTAATTGAGAACCTCCTCGTTTTATTATATCGGATAAAACTAAGAAAAATTGTTTATTGGTTCAACATAGACTTTGAGAGAAAGAAGTCTGACTCAGTGCAGGTTTTAAGTCAAGAAGTTATCTACAGATTATGAGACATCATGTTTGTCATTGTTTTATAAAATAAAAAAATTTTGAAGTATATTTTGAATTTCTAAATAATTGATGAGTATAATAATAAAATGTCCTTTACTGTGCCGCTTGTGCCACTATAAAAATATGATTATGCAGTTCATAACTTCTGATTGTTGTTGAAAATGAAATATAGCTGATTGCAGTCAAAATAGACCATCATATCATTGAGTAGTTTATAATTTAAGTCCATAAGTAGCTTTCTATTTCTAAAATATTTCTAAACTATTAATAATATAAAACTTACCCAGTAACATTAAGACACCAACAAATGACACACAGGAATACAAAAAAGGCAAATAGGTCCATAAATCTGCGAACAAAAAATATTATTCAATAAAATAGAAATATAAGTGCCCAATAACAGAAAAAAAAATTATAAAAAAAAAAGTTTGGAGTTGTAGGGAGCACAAGACAAAAAAGGAAGAGAAAACCACCCCACTAAAAAAAAAGAAATACTGCCAATATATATTATTGAATTAATAATTGATTTGTTAAGATTAATTATTGATTGATTAAGAATGAAAGAATGAATTTTTAAAATATTTTATGTATTTAAGAAATATCTTAAATACATCAAAAGATTAACAAATATATTGGTTTATCACTGCAATGATTTTGAGATATTTTAATGGCAGCTTAAACCAGCAGTCAAAACGTTAAAGACTAAGGAAGTGTTTAACCAAAAAAAATAAAAATAGATTTCTGTATTTAGTTACTAAACAAATTATGACAAATACATTATTATTTTAATGGGTAACTAACATTATATTAATAATGCTACTATACTATAAGAAATGACCATGTAGTGGCAGTGTAGATACCCACTATTCAATCAATGCTAAGTTAAGAGGATGCTGTAAGAGGCTTCAGAGGTAAACAAAGCAGGAGATGGGCTGCAGCATTATCTTAATATAATCATTTTATACTCAGTAAAACCGTGCTGAAGCTATATTAGTTCTATAGTTGTAGCACAAATGGGTCAACTCAAGCAGGGAAGGACTACACTCTTACAAAATACCAGTGTATAGCATATAGCATAGCATATTTATGCTGCTGTGTTTCATATGGTGCATGTAGAGAACCAGAGACCCCTTTAACCAGAAACGAGGCATTCCATCTTAGTCCTCACGGGTGACAATGTATCTGCATTTTAATTTGTAGTTGAGGATTGACGACTATGGGCCACAGCAACTACTAACCATCAAGTGGACTGTGTGCTCGTTTGTCATTCTTATCTTATAAAAAAAAAACAACATAAAAATAAAAACAGGGTTGCCAACCCTGATACCCTAAGCGTGGCAACTATTCTATAACTAACCTATGCAAATAAAGACTATTATTATTATTATTATTAACCTATCCGGCAATCTATGGGGAGGCCTAAGTTCAACAGTGAAATTTTGATTGACTGAAACAATAACAGCTTCCATACTACTTTACTATAAAACATATTATACTTACTTAGCAAAGCATCAATACTGGATCGGTCTCCTTCCAACCACGCAGATATAACATATGCTAAGCCTAGCATTGTCACACCTAATAAAGCCAGTACTATGAATGTCTCATACACCCTTGCCCGCAGTCCCCGATATCCAGGAAATCCAGATGACTCAGAAAACAAGTACGCAAATGGCAAAAAGACAAATAATGAAAGGTTTGAGAACAGGAATACATGGTTCCAAAGTCCTAAAACAAACAAAAAATCATTTACATTTAAAATTGATTTTAACATTATAATGTAACAAAAATCAAGACTAACCACCATTATCATCATCATTATAACAGCCCATTACAAGTCCACTGCTGAACATAGGCCTCCCCTAAGAAATGTCACAGAGCATAGTATTGAGTGACCTTTATTAGTCAACATAATGCATCTCTTACCAGCTTATCACTGCATTTAGTGGAGACCCTACTTTTTGCCTACCAGCCACCACTCAAGAACTTTTCTGCCCATTGTCAGTTCTTCGAGCTGTATGGCATACCATTATCAATTCAGTTTACTGATATGTTTTAGAGCTATGTTGGTTGTTTTGGTTCTATGGCAGATATCCTCATTACGAAATCACACACAAAGAGTGATAATCATACCAAGAAACTCGGAGCATAGCAAATTAAGAATATATTATGATAAAATGTTATGACAGTTACAATATTATTTAATCTGAAAAATACTAACCTTGTATTAGAGAGCTATTAAGCCATTTAACATAGTAACTATTTGGGTACAAAATGAGCACTTCATTGCTGACTATTGACACTGGCAGCAGGAGTGCAGAACCCAATGAAACTGCTAAAGCAAAAGTGCACAACCATAGACTGATACGGTACACTTTAACTTCATCCTCATCAGCTGTGAAATAGTCTTCGCTATCTCGACGTCGGAACTTCTCAATCAGCATAAACGAAAAGAGATATAATAATATAAATAGCAGCAAGAAAATCTAAAACAGAATAATATGATTAAACCATTATTATTTAAAAATAATTTAAGAATTTATTACAGGTAGAAAGAATAATATATTTACAAAATGTAGCCTCAACTTACAATTTGTTCCCTAACATTATTGTGAAATATCTGTTCACGCAAATCAGCCTCCTCATCATCCATCATTTACCATTAGGCCTTTTTTATCTTTTTATTAATATTTTCAGGTGTCCTACATTAACGAAGCACTGCATCTTAAACTATCATTAATAAGACAGTGAATTTACATGAATTACATTTTAAATGAATGTAAAACTTAGTAAATTATTAAAGGCAATATTAATTAAAAATATCAATTATAATTTCACGGAAGTGGTACACAACAACGAACGATGCACACAAACACGACAATTTTTTTAACAGCTGTGGAAAATAGATTATATATATCCTTTGACAGATTCTAACCTCCATGGATTCCTCTATTCCTCCGTAGACAGTATTCCTCTTATCATTTTGTGCCGGTTTGTGCTCTATTCTATACTCCATACGTCTTTGATAACATGTAGCATGAAGGCAACAGGAGAACGAATTTTCATTTCATTTATGAGAAAATTTTCACGCTCCGTAATTCTGTAATTTTTGACAAAAAGAAACATAAAAATGGAGAAATATTATATTGTGTGTAGATGTGCAAGTGGTTTAGCATCCGATCGGAAAAATAGACTGAAAATGACTTTTATTGACCGAACTTAGTGATCGCAGCGCCTCATTTATGGTGTCCATATTTCTGGGACACTATTTTCTACGGCGATCGTTCTCCTGTTCTCTAACCTTCATGCCATGTAGCATGAAGGTTAGAAAACAGGAGAACGATCGCTGTAGAAAACAGTGTCCCAGACACTTATATGGACTAAATAAGTGAGGCGCTGCGATCTCTAAAATGTCTCAATGAAAGCGGGCTGTTGTGGGCTAGTTTGAAATGATTATAATTATCATTCAAAGAAAAACTAACGAGATTATTATTATTTATCGTTTTTATTATTATTTATTAATAAATAAATTATAAATTATGTTTTTTATAACTTTAATTACTATAAATTATTACAATATAAATTATTAATCGGAGTATCTATATAGTTTTCTCATCTGGTTGGGTTCTATAAATATATAATTATAAATTAAAATGAAAAGATAAATATACATAAATATCAATAAAATAAAATAAATACAAAAATACACAAATAAATAAAAGCCCAACCAGATGGAAGCCCTCGGCAGGGGGAGACCAAACGGCCGAGGGTTAGGGGGAAAGGGAAAGAAACCGGCGGCCGATGCGGACGGTATCGAGGAGCACCGCCCTCTGCATTTGAGCCTGGAGCGGTCTGCCACGTAGTCCCAGCCGCCTCAAATGACCCGAGAGGCTGACTGGGATTAGCCCGTTTGCAGAGACGACTACATGAATAATTTCGGCCGGCAGATCACCCCACATATTGGTCACCTCGTGAGCCAGGTCCAGATATTTTGTTCGTTTATCTGTTTCGGCTTTCACGAGGTTCGGGTCATACGGAATGGTAATGTCAACCAAAAATATCATTGACTGTGCCTGGTCCATCAGCACAATATCAGGCTTATTCGAAAGAATAGTCCTGTCTGTGATGATGGCCCGGTCCCAGTAGAGCCTGGCGCGGTCATTTTCGAGCACGGCTTCCGTTAAGTACTTGTAATACGGAAATTTCCGGTCCACGAGACCGTATTTCAGAGCAAGCTCCTGGTGTAGAATTCCGGCTACTAGGTTGTGCCTGTGCAAGTACTCAGAGTTAGAAAGCGCCGAACAACCGGAGATGACACGCCTAATTGACTCACCGGGATGGCGACAAGCTCGACAGACGTCGACGGTACCATACTTTAGGATGCATCTTCAGTTGCATCTTTAGTTGTTGGTCTTAATAACCTGATCCTGTATTGCACAGACAACACCCTCGGTTTCCCCAAAAAGATCACCGAAACGTAGCCAGTTGAGGGAGGCGATTGTATCTACGAAGGGCTCATGTAGAACCCTGTAGTACCTCCCGTGGAGCTCCTTCTCCTTCCATACGGTCTCCCGGTCGGAAATGCTTTGTACTGCCGGGCCCTGCCATTGCTCGTTGGCTAAGGATAGAGGGGTAAGTCCTTTATCACTAGAAATGACGTCATTATAGAATGGATCATCCGATATCACCAGGAAGTAATTACGGAGGCTGCACTCTTCGCGATTATGCACGGTGAGCGCGCTCAGGAAGCCACGCCCACCATGCTTTCGCGGCAAGTACAGTCTCATTACCGACGATCTCGGATGATGCATCCTATGGGACGTCATGGTAGTGCGGACTTTTCTATCCAGGTCGTTAAGTTCGGTCTGAGTCCATCTGAGTATGCCAAAGGTGGACAGGCATGACCCAGCCGTTAATATGGCACGTATGCCTTATTCACCTCGGACAAAAGGCTGTTAAGTACTTTGGTCAAGCGTGCATAAAACGTGTCGCAAACTGACTGTTTCATACCAGCCTCATCGATACCGATGTTCTGTGACATACCCAGGTATCGGTATGTTTCAGCCTCGGAAAGGGTCCTTAAGTGGACGGGCATAATAAGTCTATGACCTCAGAGTTAGCAACCCTTCCATCTCAACATGGACGACCGCACACTTATCCATCCCCAGCTCCATTCCAATAGAATTGCTAAATTCACAAGTGATGTCCAGCAATTCCATAAGATGGGAGCGACTGCAGGCGAATAATGAGGTCTCCATATGGGTCACTTTGACCTCCTTTCCGACGTAAAATCCCCTCCCAGAACCCTCCAGTAAAGTACTGAGAGGGTTCAAAGAGAGGCAGAACCAGATTGGACTCAGACAGTCGCCCTGGAATATACCCCTTCTTATCCTTATGCGGCTTTCCGCAGCCGTCATCCGCTCGCCTAGATGACAGAGGATCGTACTCCACTGCCCCGTACACTGCTCGAGGAAGTCTCGAACTGTACAGTCAATCTTGTTCAGATCGAGGACTCTCTTTAGCCATGTATGGGGCACCGAGTCAAATGCCTTTCTGTAGTCTATCCAGGCGGCGGAGAAGTTCCGACGGGCGAAGAAACCACACCCTTTTAGCCGGCGAGTGAAAATGGATGTTAGTGGCTTGTATATGGTCGGCAGACACGTGATGGGGCGGTATTTGCTCGGGTCTGTGGTACCCTGGTCTTTAGGAACCAAATGAGTGATCCCAGTAGTGAAGAGGCTTGGCAGCGACTTCTGATTGTGAGCCTCCTGGAACTGTCGGACGAGCACAGTGTGACACACCACAAACTCCATTCAGCCAGTAGTGATGCAGACCGTCGCGGACTTTTCCAGTTCGGGGGCCTACGGACCGCCTCAGCTACGTGGCGTGGCGTACATCCGGCGTTATAATGACGGGGTCCATGGGCGTTATACTCGCACACTGACTCGCCAAAACTTCCGTCCAAGGGCCCTCGCTGTGGTTTATGGGCTCTGACCAAAGGCTACCAGAATGCTACAGTGTCGGCCTGATTCGGTGCTGGGCCCGTTCCACTTACCATTGGTCGCTGAAACGATTTATAGAGCCTCTTCTAATCACTCTGGAAGAGATTATTCTGGTTAAACCGTGTCGATCTCTCGGTATATCGCCGAATCCGCTTTCCCCAAGCAGCGATTCTCTGCTTCAGGTCGTCTATGCGCTCCGTCAGTTTTTGCATTATATCCGGCTGGGGCAAACTAACATTTTTCCCAGCAAATGCCATCCTGACGGGGCCCTAGCCTTTGCGATACGTTCTTCAATTCTTATTCTCCAGGCTGGGATAGCGCTACTTTGTCCAGTAGCGCGTCCAGCCGTGGAAAGTTTGGCGCCTATAATACGGCACACTGCCAGTGCGGCACCAAAAAGAATTGAGTCCGTCTCGCAAAGGTCCCGGCTGGCTTCCAAATAGGTCACCAGCATTGGGTTCAGAGCCCTCACGACAGCCCGATTCCGCTTGCTTAGGGCTATGCGGGGGAAGTCGCGGTCGATTTTCGAGAGGCGTACTGCGCGTTTCCACAATCGCCTCTTCCAATGTACTCCTCATTTGCTCCAGTTCCAGTTCCTGGGCGACTGTTCCATCATCGTTTGAATCAACCAAAACTGGGGTATTCACGACGGCATCCACGTTTGCCAGTTGCTCTGCAAGTTGTGGCGCCGCATCCTCAGCCGTAGCATTTTCATCCGATGAGGGAACAGCCTTACGTCGTAGCCGTTCGAGTTCGGCGACATCAAGTATATTCAAATTATTAGTTATTATTGATGTATTATTATTTTTTTAAATAATATTTTACCTTTTTATAGTGTTTCTTTTTGTAAATAATTTAAAATTACTTCGCAGATACTAGGTACTTACCAACGGCAGCGTGGCCATAAATTCTACAAATTTTCAGGGACAGGAGGGCTATGCTTTAGCATGTAGCGAACATTCTCCTTTTCTTTAACCTCCGTGCCATGGAGATTAGAGAACAGGAGAACGATCGCTGTAGAAAATAGTGTCCCAGAAATATGGACAAAATAAGTACGACGCTGCGATCCCTAAGTTGTCTCAATAAAAGCGGGCTATGGTGCTCTAGTTTGAAATGATTATAATATCAAAAAGAAAAAAAGAAAATAACGAAATTATTATTATTTGGGGGTTATTGATAGAGTATTCACATCTGGTTGGGCTGGATAAATATATAAAAGGAAACGATAAATATACATAAATATATATTGTTTATTATTATTATTATTTATTAATAAATAAATTGTAAATTATGTTTTTTATAATTTTAATTATTATAAATTATTACAAATATAAAATATTTATTATTATTGATTTATTTTTTTAAATAATATTTCATCATTTTATAATGTTTTTTGTCAATAATTAAAAAATTACTTCGCAGATACTAGGTACTTACTGACGGCGGCGCGACTATAAAATTCTACAAATTTTCAGGGACAGGCGGACTATGCTTTAGCACGTAGCAATCGTTCTCCTGTTCTCTAACCTCCATGTTTGATAACATGTTTGACATTGATCCACTGACCTCTATATAAACAAGTACGCTGTATATATAGAGGTCCATATAGTAATTTATGTAGAGGTCAGTGCATAGATGGCATTATATTTTAAGT